AGCTTGAATAGTTTCATTGAAATTTTGAGAATGGAAAGACATGCTTTTGTTGTTTGTTAATTTTGAGAATGATAAAGAAAGTTAAAGGATACGAGAAATGAGACATGTAAGAGAGTTTATACTATAATCTTGGTGAGTTTATAAGAGAGTTTGTAAAGAAAAGAGAGTTTATCCTACAATGAGTTTGTGAAGTCAAAACAAGGCAAATACAAAGAGTTTATAAGAGAGTTTGTAAAGAAAATAGAGTTTATATTACAATGAGTTTGTGAAGACAAAACAAGGCAAATACAAAGAGTTTATACTACAACCGCATACACTAGTTAAAGAAAAGTTGTCGAACAAACACTACATCTTGTGACCGATAAAACCAAAGCCGAACAAACACTACATCTTGTGACACATAAAGCCAAACGTATACAAGTTAAAGAAAACTTGTGACAAAACAAGGCAAAAAAATGTGACAGATAAAGCCGAATAGAAAGAGTTTGTCACAAGCAAATACACATCTTGTGACAGATAAAGCCACTAACATATTGAAACCACTAATACATCTTCTTGTGATAGAAGGAAAGTCACTCCTTTATCACCCACTTCCCCCTGCAAAAACAACAATGAACAAACATCAATGAGCAAACAACAATGAACAAACAACAATGAGCAAACAATAATAAACCATATATAACTGTGAGTGCAAAAACCAGTGATGATCTCGATTCACAATATAATAAAATTGGGCGCAAAGCTTTCGTAGATGAAACACCAAATCAAATACAAGAATAAACAAATAAGAGTCAAGAAGAAATGTGAATAATATTTTTATTAATAATATATGAAGTGAATCGTGATGGAGGAAGAACAATGACTCTGTATACCAATTTCTCTCTCGTGTAATAGATCCCTCCCCTCCTTCTCTCATCATCTTCTTCTTTATAATCTTTATTCTTTTTGGGCATTAATTTCAGAATTAATTCCAAGATTTGACCAATATCATTAATATTAATCACAAATTGATGTCAAGACTTGACCGTTTTGACTTAGCCATTCGAATATTCACGGACCCTGTATGACGGTGGGCTTTTGATGAAATAGATCGGATTCGTAGTGCGAAATCCGACACCAACAATAACCATATATCAAAATGAGAAACAATGAACCAGAAATGGCCTAAGAATGAGAAGAAACTGCCTAAGAATGAGACGACACAGAATGGGGACAATGAAGAATGAACAATCAAAACAATATCAATCACAACTTACCTAG